CTAACAGACTATCACCAGAGGGGGTCTGAGGCGGTCCCAGAGAAGGGGACCTCAACTCAGGACAATGAGGTCATTGACAAACATCATAAAAAAGACTCTTAAGATGTGTCAAAAGAACAAATAAAAGATTTATTCAGGGAAGCAAGGAACATAGACTTGAAGGGAGAGAGTGTGGACTACCTCAAGACTGAGATGCATTTGGGGGGTCTTGGGTTCTTTTAAAGGAAACTTGATGCACACCTATAATCCCAGCAACTCAGGAGGCTGAGGCAAAAGATTTCCAAGTTTAAGAACAGCCTGAGCAACTTAGCAAGACCCTGCCTCAGAGTAAAATTAGAAAGGGCTGGGGATGTGGCTCAGTGGTAGAGCACCCCTGGGATTGATCCCCAGTACCACAATAAAGGAAAGAGAATCTGGTTTAAGAAGAAAAGGTATGGGCTGGGAATGTGGCTCAAGCGGTAGCATGCTCGTCTGGCGTGCGTGCGGCCCGGGTTCGATCCTCAGCACCACATACAAACAACAATGTTGTGTCCTCCGATAACTAAAAAATAAATATTAAAAAAAAATTCTCTCTCTCTCTCTCTCTCTCCCTCCCTCCCTCCCTCCCTCCCTCCCTCTATCACTCTCTTTAAAAAAAGAAGAAAAGATATGAGAAACTTCAGCACAAGGCCTTCAGGCTCAAATTACAGTCTCCTTTTTCTTTCCTTTTCCCTTTACTACTTGTCTTGCTTTCATCTCAAGACCACGTGGCCCACAAAGCCTAAAATTGCAGTATCACCTGGCTCTTTACCAAAAATAGTTTGTCACCTCAGGGGGAGAGGGTAGAAGAATAAATTATTGGCAAAGTACTCCCCCGGCCCCGTCACAAATCCCTGGGTCCTCACATGGCAGCTGCACAGGCAGACAGCCTCCATCACAGGCCTGTGTGTCCCACTAACAGTAGGCCTTGCTATTAGCTTTGGGGAAGCAAATAGTCACACAACCAAACCTACCCTAGAATGGGCTAAATGAGAGATGGCCTTAGGGGATGCGGTGAATGTGGTGCCTGTTTTTTTCCTAGGCCTATAAACATAAGCACGTCCATTTTGCACCTGGAGCCTTTACCCCTTATATATATATATATATATATATATATATATATATTTATATTTATTTTTTAGTTTTAGGTGGTCACAATATCTTTATTTTATTTTTATGTGGTGCTGAGAATTGAACCCAGTGCCTCACGCATGCTAGGCAAGCGCGCTACTACTTGAGCCACATCCCCAGCCCTTATCCCTTACTCTTTACTGGATGCTGACGTTTCTAGTGAGCTCCTGCTACCTCTCCCACAATCTAAGGAGGCGGGGCCAGCATAAACATGGTAGGAGTAAAAGACAAGTCCTTCAGTTTTCATAATGGAATATCACATCATTATCTATGTCTGATATCCAAGACCAATGGATTCCAGCTCTAGCCATGACCTCATTCATTGCAGTGATGCAGATTGAACCCAGGACCTTATGCACGCTAGACAAGGGCTCTATCACACTTTCACCCCAGCCACCTCCATTTTTCATTCCTGGCTATCAAGCTAATGCCATAATTGTATTACATATGGTTAATATCAGTGAAATAGCCTAAGAAGCATGTAATCACCCTCTGAAGATTTTCAAACTTCATGGTTTTTGCTAAGTCAAGTCACCTTGGAACAGCCCAGCAAGATCTGAGGCTAGCCCTTCCTGGAAGGCTTGTTGTGGCACTGTTCATTAACTGTGTGTTTTGGCCTCTGCTTTTGTATGTCTTCCTGAGAAGGGGCTTCATAGGGTTACTGCAAAATTGTCCACAAAACTGCTATGGAAAGGATGATCCTTGAGTTCTCAGTGTGTCCTAATTAAGAGTCTACATGATAAATATGTTTTAGTCAGCTTTTTCTCTGTTGTGACTAAAAGACGAGAACAATTGTAGAGGAGGAAAGTTTATTTGAGGACTCAGTTTCAGGGGTCTCAGTCCATAGACAGCTGGGCTTGAGGAAGAGTGTGTGGAGGGAAGCAGCTCAGGTAATGACCAGGAAACAGACACCACTTGCTAGATACAAAATATATACCCCAAAGGCTCTCTGCCAATGACCCACCTCCAGCCACACCCTACCCATCTCCAGCCAGCACTCAGTTAATCCCATCATAGGAATGATTCACTGATTGGATTAAGGTTTGGGTGGCCGGGTCATTGCTCCTCTAACCCCTCCTGCACTGTCGCATGCATGAGCTTTTGGGAGACACCTCACATCCAGACTACAAAACCCTCATAGGATCTATCACTGGGAAAAAGATGGTCTCTCCCAGCAGATGGTGTGTTTGCTTTTGTAGATGGCAACTCTAGTGACTTTCTCCAGTCTTGTTTGCCTTAACCCCAAGGAGCTCTGGTTAAATGAAGCTCAGTTCCAAGAGTCATTTTATCCCTAATCCTCTGGGTTCCTGGACCAGTGTGGCACCTTCTCCTACAGTTTCTGGTCACTAACTCCCTCATGGCATGGCAATTTGGTAACTTGCCATAGGCTTTATGGCACTCCTGGTGGTGGAAGAGTTCAGAAGACAACATGGCTATTCTGTGCTACTAAGGGCTCAAAGACAAGAATAGGCTCCATCTTAAGAAACCTAAGAGCAGCCGACTAAGGATGCTAGGAAGCAAGGTGGAATTTTGAAGTGAAAGCTACCCCTAAAGAAACTTGCTTCTTGGTTAATTCCATGATTGGGGTCGGTATTTTTCTGGCTCAAGGCATCTGTAGTCCTGGAAGCAGCTTTGGGAGCCTTGCATGGCCACTAGCTGGGGCTCACATTAGCCCGAAGATATTAAAAAGAAAGGAGACTCAGACCGCTGACCAGTGACTCGAAACTGGGCCTAAATCTGTGCAGTTTTCCTGGGATTCCTGGGATCTGGGATGAACTAGAAAAGTCATGGGATAAAAAATCCAACTTTCAGTAGACGAGACTCACCTGGTGATGGAGAAAGGTGGGGAGGCCCTGAGATCCCATGGGTGAAGGCAGGTCAGCTAAGTCTCCTTGTGAAAAGAAGAGCAGAGAATGAAGGATAGAACAAGGGAGAGCTGCAGTCTGTCTTTCAGGTTGATTTTGTGTTGTCCCCTTCACGGAGCTCTTGGCTAGAATCTAATCAGTCAGTGGCTTGCAACTCAGAAATGTCATGAAGAAAGGACAGTTTAGGAAAGTTGCTACCATCATTTTAACTCAGGGGAGTTCATGCTGGCTTTCTGTTTCCAAGAGGGTCTGGCAGGATTCTCAGCTCCTAGGGCACTCTAGGTGGGAATGAGGGGGAAGTTGGGGCCTTTGGATACAGAGACCTGTGGTATTTTTGTATTTATTTATTTATTTTTGTTCTTTTTTTATTTTTTTAATTTTTTTTATTGTTGGTTGTTCAAAACATTACATAGTTCTTGATATATCATATTTCACACTTTGATTCAAGTGGGTTATGAACTCCCATTTTTACCCCGTATACAGATTGCAGAATCACAACAGTTACACTTCCATTGATTTACATATTGCCATACTAGTGTCTATTGTATTCTGTTGCCTTTCCTATCCTCTATTATCTCCCCTCCCCTCCCCTCTTCTCTCTCTACCCCCCTCTACTGTAATTCATTCCTCCCCCTTGTATTATTTTTCCCTTTGCCCTCACTTCCTCTTGTATGTAATTTTGTATAACCCTGAGGGTCTCCTTCCATTTCCATGCAATTTCCCTTCTCTCTCCCTTTCCCTCCCACCTCTCATCCCTGTTTAATGTTAATCTTCTTCTCATGCTCTTCGTCCCTACTCTGTCCTTAGTTACTCTCCTTATATCAAAGAAGACATTTGGCATTTGTTTTTTAGGAATTGGCTAGCTTCACTTAGCATAATCTGCTCTAATGCCATCCATTTCCCTGCAAATTCTATGATTTTGTCATTTTTTAATGCAGAGTAATACTTTATTGATGGAGAAAATATGCATGAGGGGTAGCCCACCTTGAATGCTGTTAGTGTCCCCTACTAGAGATCCACAGGATACTCCTGAGGATTTATCTCTAGGACCTGCCCAGAAGGCCGAGTCAAGAAGCCCTTCAGAAAAGGGACTCTCAAGGAAATGTCAGTGTAGACTCCAAGAATACTTGGCCCTCTCTTCTCTCCCTGGCTGGATTTTACCTACCCTCTGGGCCAGCTCCTTGGTATAAAGCCTGCTCAGACTGAAGCAGCCCCTTCTGTTTCTTAACAAAACCAATCATTACTATAGTTAATCTCACAATTCCCTGAGAGTTCTGAGGTACAGAGTGACATGCTTGTTATAGTAATGCCTAAGGATGCATTTTAATATGTTGTTTTGGAGGCCAAACCTTTGTTAGCAGGGCTAAAGTAACACGGGGAGAATGAATTACACCCCAGAATGCAGACCTGGGTTCTGCAAGGGGCAGGCCACAGAGTATCTGCTTTCTTAGACTTGCTTGGGAGAGAATTTTCTCTAGATGAGGGAAAGGCAGGTGACCACAGGATTCCAGCCTGTCCTTGTGCCAACCCCTTTTTCTGGCCAGGACATTCACCCACCTAGGGAAAGCCAGCATAACTCCCCTGAGTTAAAAATGATGGTAGCAACTTTCCTAAACTGTCCTTTCTACCAATGCAGAATGCCCCCTCTGGGGCTCCATAGCACAGTCCCTGCTCATAGTCAGATTAGGACAGACACAGGCAGATGTCAAAATGTGTGGAATGATGGGACCAAAGTAAAATGAACTGCCCAGAGAGCTTATAAAGCAGTCGTACCGTACTCCTTGTTGGAGCCCCTGCTTCCTCCACCAGAGGAGGTGGCGTGTGAGAGCAGAACTCAGTTCCTACTCATTTTTAACTGCCGACACAAATGGTCTGGGATCTTGCTCAGGAAGAATGTGGCACTTGCATGAGCAACCTTCATTACTTCCTATCGGACATTCTGAAGAAATTTTCTTGGCACAGAAAAGACATCATAGACACAGAAGAGACATCATAGAAAATGTTATTTTTATTATTTCAAGAGGATAATATGTAGCCCGATACACCAAAGCAATAGGGAAGGGAATTAGAGGCAGCAAATGGCAGTTTTTGAGAAGAGCCTCATGTTGCATCTCCACGCTCCTGTCTGCCTGCCGCCCACAGTGCCCAGTGAAGGCTGAGGCTGGGACAGTGGTGCGGAGCTTGCTGTGACCATAGCAGTGGACGGATGACCAGACTTAGCGCCCCACTGACCGCAAAGGGCTTGATGCAGAAGGCAGCAGAGCACTGTGGGCCAACACCCAGAGAGCCTACCCTGCCACTTGCCATTCACACGGCTCCTGCCTAGCAGCGGCCAGCTGTCTAGCACTTGGTTTTATCTCTGTGAGCCTCTAGTGGGCAGGACGGGAATGAATCCTGAGTCATAAATTAAGGTGAAAGACTTAGTAGTGTTAATACTCTAGGTGAGAATAGACAACACTGTCTTGGAAGAGGGTGGGCTGGGAGTCTGGTGGGAGAAAGATGGAAACATAGAGCGGCCCCGAGCTGTGGGCACTGCCCTAGGGACCGTAGGGGGTTTTCACCATACATGATGGGGAAGGGGCAAGGGCTGGGTACTGGGGCCTGCTTCCTCTGAGGCAGAGCTGAACTAGAGGTTCATTTTCTACTCATAATTGGTTTTCCGGGTCTAAGTCACCACACCTGGGGCCAAAGCAAGTCTTGCCTGTGCACCAAGCGCAGCCTTGGAGAGAAGTGTGGCGGCTCAGTTGGCCAGGGTTGAGGGGGACGGACTCTCAATTCAAGGAGACCCTTCTCCCCCTGCTCCTAGTTCCTGTCCCTTGCAAATAAACAGGGTGGGAGATGAGAGGCAGAAGCACCTCCTAGTGCAGCCCCGCCATTGTCTTTTCCAATGAACTCATTTTGGTGGGACCCAAAGCCCCACCTTGGTATGGAGCAGACTGATTCCATCATGGAAGGGTGCCCCATCTGGTGATTTGATGGTGGAGTGCAGGTGGGAGGCGCAGCAGTGGCTGTGGATGTGGGGACACCCATAGACACCATTCATTTTGATGTGGCCCTCCAGGCTGGCCGGCTGGCGGGCTGGTGGGGAGGGGCTGCTTCTTCCCAGCACGCACTGTTCCCCAACCTCACTGCAACGGCTGACAAATTTTTGGTTTGACAGGTGTGAAGAGAATTTTAAAAACCATGTCACTAGGTACCTCCAAACCTAGCCATTGTGTACTTCAAACCAGGAGCGGTTGGTTTTGTTTTGACAAGAAAAGACAAAGAGAACCACAGCTCCATGGTGCTCACTGCTGTGCAGCAGGGAATTGGCCATGTATCGAATGTATCAACCTCGTCTGACCAGGGAGGTGGGCGAGCACAGAGCGTCCGGGACCCAGATCCTCTAATCAGTTGCAGGCTCTGCTGTTGCCTCACCCTCGGGTTCCTCAAAGCCTGGAACTGGCTTCTGCAGAAAGTACGTGGTGGCCTGGATCACCTTGTCTGGTCCAATGTTGTAGACGGGGTGAGTGGGCTGCTGCAAAGAGAACAGATGCCAACTCATCACTCTGGCGATCCTTGGAAACATGCCCATCCTTTGCCCCCTGAAATGGACTACTGAAAATTTAAGGAATCATCAGAGACCACAGAAAGATCTCTCTCTAGGCCCAAAGGTTCAAAAACAGGGTATTTACTACTAAAAACTCGTTACAGAACATGAAGACATAGGAAAATGTTAAGCAGCCTATTTTTTTTTTTTCTTTGCAGCACTGGGGATTGAACCAGGGCCTTCATGCTAGGTAAGCACTCTACCACTAAGCTACATTCCCAGGCCTTTTAATTTTTTGAGACAGAGTCTAACTAGGTTGCTGAGGCTGATTTCAAACTTATGATCCTCCTGCCTTGGCCTCCTGAGAAGCTGGGATTATAGATGTGTGCCACTGTGCCCAGCATATACAGCCATTGAAATACATCCTTTCAGATATTTAATGATATAACAAATACTTATACAGGTTGAACATCTCTTATATGAGTGTATGGTACCAGACTGTTTCATATTTTAGAGTTTTTAGATTTTGGAATAATCACATAGACTCTAGCAGTTCAGCATTCCTAACCAAAGAGCCCAAAATACAAGTTTTTCCTGTTGTTGTTGTGAGCTTGGGGTAGAAACAGGACCCAAGGCCTTGCACATGCTAAGCACAGGATCTACCACTGAGCTACATCTTCAGCCCCATGCTGACATGACACTCAAAAAGTTTCAGATTTGGGGGCAGTTTGCAGTTTTTTTTAGTTGCAGATGAACACAATACCTTTATTTATTTATTTTTATGTGGTGCTGAGGATCGAACCCAGTGCCTCACATGTGCTAGGCAAGTGCTTTACCACTGAGCCACAGCTCCATCCCCACATTTTACATTTTGAATGTTGAGATTAGGGGTGCTTAATCTTAAAGATGTTTAAGTGAGAAAAACAGTAGGTACACACTATCTAAAACTTCCTTTTTAAAATTTGTTTACAGATACATATGAATAGACAAAAATTGAAAATACACCAAAATGGTTTTTGCAGTACTAGGGATTGAATCCAAGGTCTTTCACATGCTAGGCAAGCACTAAGCTACGTCCCCAGCCTTTTTATTTTGAGACAGGGACTAAGCTGCCCAGGCTGGCCTCAAACTCACCGTCTTCCTACTTCAGCCTCCGGAGTCGCTGGGATTATAGGCATGTGCCACCACTAGCTGATTGTTTTTCATTGTTTTATTTATACTTTTATATATATTCTAATTATTAAAATAATGAACATTTATAATCTCTTGATTACATTTACATTTATAATCAAGGAAAAGGACCACAAATGTATTATGTAGTAAGGGGGTCAGATCATATTTAAATTGATTTACATTATCAACAGAAATCCAAAGGAACTTCAATTTTGAGACAGAATTCTGGGCCAATATTCAGGAATGTCCCACACTGGAAGAATAAAGAAGGGGACATAAGGGCAGCAAAAATTTAAAACTTTTTAAGTTGTACATGGACCCAATACCTTTATTTATTTATTTTTATGTTGTGCTGAGGATTGAACCCAGTATCTCACATATGTTAGGCAAGTATCCGACTACTGAGCTACAACCCCAGCCCTAAAACTTTTAAATATAATACTATGAGTAATTTCATACCAAAACATAAAAATTCAGATAAACTGATCAATTTTTTAAAAAAAAATTTTTTTTCAGTGCTGGGGTAGAAACCAAGGCTTTGCTTGCACGTGCTAGGCAAGCAACTGTACCATCACATTATGTCCCAGCCTGGGACTGAATTTTTTTTTTTTTTTTTTGTACCAAGAATTGAACTCAGGGGTGCTTAACCACTGAGCCACATCCCTAGCCCTTTTTTTGCATTTCATTTAGAGACAAGGTCTTGCTGAGTTGCTTAGGGCCTTGCTAAATTGCTGAGGCTGGAGTTGAACTCACAATCCTCCTGCCTCAGCCTCCTGAGTTGCTGGGATTCCAGGTGTGCACCACCTAGCCAGCAGGGCTGATTTGTTTTGAGGGAAGCAGACAAACTTGAATTGAACAAATACATGGCAAACTGTGGTCAGTGCCACAAGGGAACGAAGGGGGCGCTACAGCAGCACATCTTGGGCAATGTCATTCTTTGAATCAGAGTTGGCATCTAAGCTGAGACCTCTGAGAGAGGCAGCCACACACTGGGGGCCATGCCCTGCTGATACTACAGGTCAGTTTAGATTCACAGGCTGCATTGGTACCAAATAACTGTGCCTTCCTAGAGAGGGCACTGATGATAGGTGGTGATCTGGATCCTCAACTCTGGAATAAAGGCACAAAAGCTGTCACAGATCAGACTACCACTGGAACTCAGGTATACCTAGAGGTGCAATTCCTCCAAGGTCACAACCTCACTGGTGGACTACAATGTAAGGAGGAAGGGGACTGCAAGCTCCCAGGCCTGTCCTCATGGGGAATAGACCCAATTCTGCAGGACACGAGGAGTTGCTCTGAAGTCCCCTGTCCTGGGAACTCTGTGGAGAAGGGTGTTAAACATCCCATCCTGACTTACCAGCACATTTTCAGGCACACCCAGGACCACATCGTGCAACATGGCTCCGCTACCAAAGTGCTGGGCAATGGATAAGCCACTCAAGCAGTAGCAGGTGTGGTAGAAGTCACGGGACCTGCAAGGACAGGCAGCACTGAGTGGTCACTCCTCTGTGGAAGGTAACCACGTGAGTCCAGAGGCCCAGGACTCCATCACACATCCCACATGTCGTGCACATGGCTGAAGAAGTGTGGCTTTTCCTTGGTGGTAAATTTAAAAGCCTCATCCTCCAGCCCTACCAACCATAAGACTGTAATTTTATATTATTTTTTTGTTTTGCTTTCTTTCTTTTTTTTTTTTTTGTGATGCTAGGGATTGAATCTAGGGCCTCAGGCAGGCTAGGCAAGTGTTCAATCACTGAGCTGTACACCAAGCCAAGGGGACTGTAACTTTAGGGTTGTCCTTTCTAACTGCCTCTTGAAAAGGTTCTCCAGGAGTAGTGCTAGAGGTAAGTTAATATATTTCTCTAGAAAAAATGTCTAGAAATGAGTTACATTATTCCAGATAAATTGCTGGGCCTGGATTTTTCTGGGATGCCAATAGTAGCAGGGTGTGTGTGTGTGTGTGTGTGTGTGTCTGTGTGTGCACACACATGAATGTGTACCCACATTTAGCTAGAATATAATGGAACAACATCTTAGATTTGAATTTAATCTACTCTGTAAGATTGTCTCTATAATGCTCAAGGGTTTTAAAATTCTGGGTCCCCCCCACCGCCTGACCCCTGTGCTGAGGATTGAAAGCAGGGCTTTCTGCTTACTACGCAAGTGCTCTGCCACTAAGCTATGCCCTACCCCTACCTGTATCCTTTGTATTTAAGCCAATTTGGTTCAACCAAAGAAAATAAAAGGAAAGCTACTCACCCAGCATTCACCTCTCTGGGGGAGGAGGGAGACACATGTGAGGGAAACAAGAAAGGCAGTGGGAAGAACGGGATCAGTAGCACTTATGCTCCTAACTGGGGTGCTTTTACCACTCAATGCTAGCACTAAGCAGTCAGATGGAGAGGGACACCCTGGCTCTCAAAGGCCTGAGGTGTACAATCCCCTCCCACCTTGTCCTCCCTCCCAGAGAGAAGGGGCACTCACTTGCCAGGTTTATCCAGAAGCCCCCCAGCAGGACACTGGCAGCACATGAGAATGTACTCCTGCAGGGCCTGCTGATGGAACATCCAGTGGCTCATGCTGAGGGCAGGATCACCTGTGGAAGGGCAAAGGGTCAGTGAGGGCCTGGCAGGGTGGGCCAAGTATCAGTGAATACTTGTAATTTTTTTTTGATGTAAGCCGCAAAGAGGCATTTATTGAAAACTAGCTCGGTCCTCCGAGTGCACACAACAACTGGTGATGCTGAGAGGCCCGGAGCCCAGGTTTGTAACAGTTTTATACACTCTTTGGGGAAGGCAGGGACTTCACATACATCATAGCATCTCTTAGCAAATCATCACACACCACGGGAAAATCAAATAACATGATAAAATAAAATAACAATAAATAAAATAACAATCTAAAACATGATTAGTGTATCAAGAGGCTGGAAAGGATTATTGGTTAGTTCAATAATCTTTGACGCACTTAAAAATGATTGGTTTAAATCCTGAGGGTGTTGCAAGGAGGGTACATGCCAAGCTGCAGGGCTTCTAGTTTAGATATTGGTCACCACACGTAGGTGGGGGCCATCTGGAATTTCAGATATTTCGATATCTTGGCCTATCTTAGGCGATCACCATCTGCGGCTTTTCTGAGAACTGTTTCCACAGAGCTTTTCTGTGGTATTTTCCTGACTTTAGGACTGCAGTAGGTCAGAGGTTAAGTTTCAGAGCAAAATGAGGTCCCAAGTAGAATGACGTTGCTTAGGTCTTTCATTCCCCCATTTCTTTTTGGGTACCTTGGAAGCCAATCATGGGTTCCTCTGAGTGAGCTCATAGGATTCAGTTTTATTATCTCTGTCTAGGGGCTGACATTGGGCCTGTAACACCATTAACTGGACTGTATTGATTCGTTCCTTTACAAAGGCTGCAAACTTATTTATAATACAGGGTCCTACTATTAGGGCTGAATACCTGTAATTTTTTAAAAAAATATTTATTATTAAGTTTAAAGTGGACACAATATTTTATTTTACATTTATGTGGTGCTGAGGATCGAACCCAGTGCCTCATGCATGCTAGGCAAGCACTCTACCACTGAACCCCAGCCCCAGCCTTATTTGTAATTTTTTACCCAGTGGGAACAGGGTTTCCCTCCTCTTCCACCCATTCTTAGTACGCAGGCTATCTTCATGTCATGCGTCAAAGAACAGCTGTTTGAAGAGTATTTCACTTGCCTTGAAGTATTCGCCATAAACTCAGAGGACGATCCTAAGCCCCATCTCCAGCAGGCAGTGCACCAGTTGCTCAGCTTACCTTTCCAGGATGACCTATTATTGCTCCCAAACTGTCCATCATGGTTTTCTCTGGGCTCCTGAAGACATCTACTCTAACTTATCTCTGAAACTTGTTAACCAGATTCTAAGTAGCTAGGGGAACCCTCCACAGGGTTAACACATTCTGTTTCTTCTACTTTTTTAAGCCTGACCTTAATCTATCTTAAGGGGAAATTCTCCAACTTTTCTTCTCTTTTCTGAGACATGATCTTGCTATACTGCCCCCGCTGCCCTAGAATTCCTGGGTTCAAATAATCCTCCCTTCTCAGCATAGCATGACACAGGTGCATGACACTGCACTAACTTCTCTCTTGGCTCAAAAACTTTTCCTAAGAAGCATTAGTAATAATTGCCCTCAAGCATCATAGGACACCCCAAGGGCAAACTGGCCATTCTAGGAATACTAGTAAGTAATTAGTCTTCTTCATTCAAGTTCAGCTAGTAAGTCAGACAATTCATTGGGCCAGGGAGTTATCAAGTGGGGAGGAGGGATGACTTTCCATTGCACAGATGTGTGCAGAGATTGATTTTTTTAAAAAAAAATACAGATATAAAATGTACAGTAAGTCTTTTTCTGTTTTCTTTCTACATTTTTATTGGTGCATTATAGTTGTACACATGAGGGGATTGCTGTTACAAATTGTTACATGTATATAATATAACAATATAATCTGGTCACAATCACTCCCCAAGATATCTCCCCCTCTTTCTCCTTCAGTGTCTTTGGTAGGTTTTATACTTCAATACCTGGGCTACAAAGATGTATCAATAATCTGTAAATGCAAATGAAAATTAATCTCCTTTCTTCTTGTTTCTATATATTCTTCTATAGTTCTAATTATTTTAACTTTGTATCTTATGTTTTTCACTTCACACTAAAGACATAAACTTCTATTCTGCTATGTAATCTTCACAACCATCATTATGAATAGCCATGCAGTATCTCATTAAGTGAATGTATAAGGTAACTGAGTCATTAAAGAGAGAGAGCCAAAAAATCCCGTGGATATGGGCATATAAAGTTCTATTTATAAAGTTCACAGTAAATATGGTATATAGTACCTATGTAAGCAAAATATTTAATTATAAAATAATTCAAACAGAAAATAACAATTCAATTTTTGATTTCTTCTCTCTCTTTCTCTTTGTGTGTGTGATACAGGGGATCAAACCCAGGACCTTGCACATGCCAGGCAAGCACTGCCAGTGAGCTACACCCCTGGCCCAATTTTTTTGTTTTCTTAAAAGAGACACATATTTGTACTCTCAGCTACTCAGAAGGTTGGGGCAGGAGGATTGCTTAAGCGCTTAAGCCCAGGAGTTCAGGGCCAGTGAGGGCAACATAACCAGGCCCTCTCTCTTAAAAAAAAAAAAAAAAAAAAAAGGGAGACAGATGGGGAAGGCCTGGGAAGCAACTGCTGTTTCCCAGGTTGAGCACGTGATGAGGGGCAGTGGTTGCCTGACATTGGAGTGTGACAAAAGCTATTTTCCTTTAACACCTGACACAAGCATTAGGCCCAATGAGACACATCGTGAAAGGCACATAGGGTGTCCCATGGAGGGCTCACCCTGCCCTGTGCTCACTGGTGCGCTCATTACTTCAATTCCCTTCCTCTTTTTCCCCAGTCATGAGCACAGCTGAGTCTTCACATACATATATAGTGGGACTTCCTGTCTTCCTTTACTCACTTCCAAGGTTGCTTCCCAGTTTTTTGTAAGTATAAGAAATGCCACACTACTATCTTTGTGAACATTCTCAATGTGTCGGATTATTTTCTTCAAATACATTGCCCTGAGCAGAACTATTAAAGGGGATAAACATTTTTAAAACTCTTAATAAATCCCAATAAATTGCTTTAAGAACTTATATAGCTGACAGAAAAATCTAAACTTTTACTGCACTACCTCTAGCACTGCTCACTTTAAAAAAAAAAAAGTTCTGGGCTAGGATTTTGGCTCAGTGGTGGAGCACCTGCCTTGCATGTGCAAGACCCCGGGTTCCATCCTCAGCACATACATAAAAATGAATAGATAAAATGAAGGTATTGTGTCCAGCTACAACTAAAAAGTAAATATTTTTTAAAAAAGTTTTAGCAATTAAAATGGTAAAAGGGAATAGTATCTGATCATTTATTTGATTAGCATGCCTTGATTACTAATCAGTATGTAATTTTCCCATAACTTTACTAGTTTCATTTCCTTTTGAGAGGGTCTATTTGTCCTTTGTCTTCTAAAATCCAATATTCCATCTTATTAATCTAGCTTTTTATCAAACTTGTCTGTAACATATACTGTACCTCTTTCTCCCTTTTTGCTCTTTTGTTTTGGTTATGCAAGTTTAAAACATACAGTACATTGTTATACTGTTATTTTTTCTTTGTGATTTCTTCTATAAAGAAGCAAACTTAATGGGTATGGGTTTTTTTGGGGGGGATGTGGAAAGTGTTCTAAAATTGTGATGATTCTACAAACATTAATAACCATTGAATTATAACTTGCCAATGGGTAAACCATACAGGATGTTTATTTCCATAAAAAATAAACTTGTTTTGTGGGGGATATTTTGTACTGGGGATTGAACTCAGGGGCTCTCAATCACTGGGCCATGTCCCCAGCCCTATTTTGTATTTTATTTAAAGACAGGCTCTAACTGAGTTGCTTAGGGCCTCACTAAGTTGTTGAGGCTGACTTTGAACTTTCTTTTTTTTTTTTTTAAAGAGAGAGTGAGAGAGGAGGGAGAGAGAGAGATAGAGAGAGAGAATTTTTAATATTTATTTTTTAGTTCTCGGCAGACAC